CAACAGAACTGCCTCAATGACATGGCCTGAGCAAGATACAGCCAGGGCTCTGCTTCAGCATCTTTACTTTTTAGGAGTAAAGTGCGTCAGAGTATCCGTTACTAGTAGGTCACACCCAATAACCCCCTCGCCGGTTATTCTGGGGAAGTCAATGCCAGGAGAAGTCTACATTATTTGTCATTTCTTATTTAATATTCAATTGTAATGATGGGGGGGACTGAAACCGAGACTGTCAGGGGCGGAGCGCTGCCGGGAGCGCTGCGCCCTGCCGAACCTACGCACCCGGCAGTACTGCGGCCTGTTGAACAGATGCGCTCGGACGCGACTACACGGAGGGCTTCGGAGTCGGACGAGGCGGGTGTTTGGTGTGCTGGAGCTTACACGTGGAGCACGCTTTCGCATGGAGGGTCTCACGAACCGGGTGACGCTGGAGTTTGGAGCGTGGAAGCCTTCATGTGGAGCACCTTCTTTCAGGTGCCATGGCGAGGAGATCTTTGAAGGAGATGAGGAAGCAATTGTCTTCCCAGCCTTCTGGATATGGAGGACAACGATGGGGTATTGGGGGCATAGCTTGTGAAGGAGAGCGAAAAGCAGAGTGGTGGAGAGTGCTGGGAAATGAGGGTAATTAGGGTGGAGTTTGGAATCTGGTTTCCTCCTCCAGTAAGGCCACGAGGCGGCCGAGATGCTGTATGCCGATGAAGGAGGAGGTGAGGTTTTGAGAGAGCAGGGGACGGATTGAACGGCGTCGATTTGCAATCTCTATTGAGGCCAGTTAAGTGAGTATGCCTGGAATGTTTACCTTGTCCTAATCGGTCTATTTTCCTTTTACAACACATTGATCCTTGATAACCCTGTACTGCTTGAATTGCGCTTCTTGGGAATTCTTGATGGAGTCCTTAGCAATGTTAGCATAACGTGATCATTCCCGTAATGGAATATCTGATGTCTGTTCTTATAATCAGCCAAAATTACTTCAGAATTATTTTGTTCTTAATACACGTTTGAACGCCATCTCTGAATTAATTACGTCATAATTACTTTCCTTAAATATGTGCTCCTGAAATACGACCTGATTTTTACTTCGCAAGTTCTGATATTCGAACCCGAAATTTGAATTTACAAATTGGTAAATTTCTTGAGGATTGCCTTGGTATCAATTCTGATTTTGAATTCGAGTCTAAATCGATTAGTTTAGTTTCCTTTCCAGCTTAAACCACCAGTACCTCCTGAAAACGCTCCTGTTAACGCGGAGCGAATTTTGGAATGAACGGGCCTGGGCCGGTAGGCCCGATTCAGCCAAGTGGAAACGGCGCGGTTTCCATTTTTGGCTGGCCATTAACGCGGAGCGTTTTCAGAAGGTACTGGTGGTTTAAAGTGGGAATTACTAAATTTGTAAGGTAGAATCAGGTTCGATCTTAAACAGTGATTACCTAAGTAATTGGTATTTTTTGGTTCTTAGTAATTGAGCCTTAGTTCGTGATGTTGTGGGTTTGGGGTCATAGGGGTCGAATGGAATATCTCTTTTAGGGTTGGAGCCCCTCCCTGTGCCTAACATAGATCGAACGATGAAGATTATTGGACCATAACAAAGCTCTCCATCTCCAGCGAGCCATGCCACGTGAATTGAACCCCCCAACAGCCCCTCACAGGCAGTCTCGAGAGGGGAGGGAACGACCCTCCCTGTGCCCTATTTCAACCCTACAGGCTAGCCCCTTCGGCGCAGGGTGCGTCATCTCCCACCATCATAACCACCGCAACCCCCTGCCTCCAGCACCAAACCTTTGAAGAATTTCAATTAGGAAAAACAGGAATTCAAAAGACTCAGAAGACTCAGATGAACATTCAATGCCCACTATTTCCACAGGAGGAGGGAAAGAGGGGGGGAAAACTACCCTCTCTCCCCGTGGAAACTCCAGCGCCTATTAAAGTCTCAGTTACATATAGAGGGGTCACAAAAACCAAAGGGATTATTCCTCTCCTCAAAAGGACAACCCCCTGTCTGTTTACTGCCTCAGCGAGAAGGTGCCCCTCATCTCCCCGCCCCAGTTCAGAACAGCCCCCCGAAGAGACGAAGATCCCCCTTCCCTCCTGCCCCACCCTGTCCAAGCGGAACAGCCCTCTCAACTCTCACCTTGCTGACATCAGCACCCCTTGTCCTCTCTCCCCGACCGCCATAGCTGATCGGACCAAAGGGTCAGCGTGACCCAGAAAAGGACAAACCCTCAGTACCGCCCCTACCCTCTCGAAGATCACACCACCCACCTTGTGTAACTTTTCGCTTCTCTCTCTCCCTATTATTTTCCTCTCCCTACTATTTTCCCTACGGCTTTCCCGTCTTCTTTTCTTGCCCGTTCGATATCATCGTAATGGCCAGGCATGCTTGTGGAGTTAACGCAAGCGTTATCAGCTGGAACTACGATTTTGTTGAAACGGACATTTTTTATTTTTTAAACGAAATGGGGAGTAGGTGGGTAAGGGGTAAGGGGTAAGGGGTAGGGTGTAAGGGGTAAGAGGTAAGTGGTAAGGGTTAGGGGGTAAGGGGTAAGGGGTAGAGGGTTAGGGGTAAGGGGTACGAGATAGGGGGTTAGGGGTAAGGGGGAGAGGAGTAAGAGGTAAGAGATAAAATGTCCTTCTTGCATGACCAGTTATATTTTTTGTGAACCGCATATTAATCCTCGTTACAGTTACAAACTCTTATTCTCCTATATCACATCTATTTGATCACTGCATGGTCATTTCATGTGTTTGAACGTCTTATTGTAAATGGAACAAATTTGTCTACTCCACAACAGCTACGTCGAAAGCTATCCGACATCGTAGTTTCTTTGTATCATCTGATGTGAACGTGAATGGTGTAAGAAACCCTCTCGCCAATAGTGATGCATATGTCAGCATAAACACACCGCACTCGTTGAAGTCGCACTGCTTTGGAATGCCTTTCACTACCCATATATGGTTGAATTTTTTAATGTCAATTTCTTAACGTTGTTCGACCGATCTCATGTACAGAAATCTTGCGAACCCCCCTGTCACCTTACTTGCGAGTTGAACATCCGGTGCCAGCGAATCGTCGTACTCAATTTTCATACGGCTAAGATCTGCCACTACGAGTGTCCAATGTTGGTTGTGCGCGACGTGAAAAGGTGCAATGATCAAATCCATGTCGCTGATCACGACCTCCGTGAACCACCTGCGAACCTTTTCGTACTCGAACTTCATATCGCTATCGAATAATCTCGCCAAAAAAAACGAGCTTAAAACTGCTACTCTAGGAATGAGCCTTTTTTCTGTTCTAACCACATTCTCGTTCTCCGAGTCACAATTGTGGTGCTTCACACGACATTCATTGTCCAGTCGGACAAGGTTAAGATAAAAATTAACTATCTGCTCGTTCAACCACTTTTTTTCTATCATTAGCAAGCTAAAATCGTTGACTGTCATCGTTAGTTTTTTTTTTGTGTCTTCGTTAAACGAACTTGCTATGACGTTTGTATTCCCAATTTGCACTCGCAATCGCGTGAGGGCCTCCAGCTCTTGATCTGGACGGTCCATCCATTTTTGCACCTCCGGCTATCCTCCATTGTCGTTTGTGCTGCACATGACAACGCGTCATGTATTTATGTGAGCTATTGTTTCACACCTTCCATTTCTAGTTATGTTTATTGAATTTAATTTGTTGCATTTACGTGAATTAGGGCTAACCTTAAACGAGCGGGGTGCTTATAAGGACTAGGAATTTACGTAGTGAAAACCAATACACTCCATTATTTTCTTTCGTGTACTGTCGTCACTTTCACGAACCGCGTCAATAGTGTTTTATGACATACCACACTAATATTTATGATTTACCACACTAATAATCATACTCTCGTTAGATTCATCGAGAGAGAGAGAGAGAGAGAGAGATGGTTATGTATCAATGATTGACATTTCCTCTCAAATTCACTGCGGAATCAATTATTTTATCACGCGTCTCCCTCCGAATATTTATCCGAGTTCGGTACAATCACACACATATGCACACACACACACACACACACACATACACACACACCCCTATGTACACATCACGCACACCAACGAACACGCATATCACCCTCTGCATATATCTACATATTCATCTGATGTCTTTTTTTTTTTTCTCTTGTCGACTGTCTGGTATGGAGACTTCCGTCATTCACTCCCTTCTGTTTATCGACATTGTCCCTTGCATCCTCATCGTCATTGTGCCCCTCTACATGTACGTCTTGCCGTTCATCGCTTAATGAAATACAATTAATCACAGTCTGTGATGTGGTTGGTCCCCCAAGCTTCCTCTTCCCCTCATTCTCTGCGTCAATCAACACTTTCATCATCTCATCGGAATTTTCTTGCGCCTCACTCGCACGTTCTGCATGCCCACCTTGTTGCATTCACTCTGGTTTCCCGCCTGAGTGATTAGAGGAGGCCCGTACGATCCAACGTTCGATTTGTCTTCGTTGACATTCCGTGTTCCCTTGTCAACCCCCATCATCTTGATAGTAGTTTGGCTCATTGCTTCCCCAACACTGGCAGCAAAGTGCGTCGTCAACTGCCTCCCAAGCTGTGAGCATCCCAATTGGATTGTCTCGATGTCTTGGCAAGCAGGAGGAAGTTCGATCTTCCAATCGATAGTCTTGTATGACCGGCTTGACGGCAAGTCATAGAACTTGTGTTTATATTCCAGTCGATTGTCTGAGCGCAGAGAGTCGAACAGCAGTTGAGACTTCCCCTCAATAGCCGCCTCGTCCACCCCGTTGTTTTCGCACTTGATACGAAAGACGATTTCGCTCCTCGCCACTTTCAGCCACGATTTTTCTGTCAGTCTGGGTTTGAATTTCCATCCCGATGATAGATGCAGTGCCATCATCCACTCCCCCTTGAAGACGCACAGCTCGAACACGTCCGTATGCCACAAAATGTGATGCCCCCACTTTTTAGATGTCGTTTCTAGCACCTTGTCATGAATGAAGTACGGTTTTGCACTGTCCTGCACAATGCGATCGGGGATATCATCACCAGGCATGAGCTTCGGGGATGGATCTGGAACAACAATGTCATCTTCCTCATTGTCTGCCAGCATGTCGCGGTCCGCGTTTCCTCCAGATGGAGTCGTTCCCTGAACCCGCAAGTGCTTGCAGGGGCGTCGGCGAATCCGTTTGCATCTGGTCGATGAAACTTGCCCTGTCCGTCACATCACGTGCAGGACTGCTCGCACCTCCCGAGTTCGTGGGACCTCCTTCTGGATTCTTGTTCTGCACGTTGCATGCATGCACACTTTGCATTCCCTCTCGCGAACGTTTCACTCGCTCTTCGACTTCGAGGTCTAAGGTTTCAGTCTCCTCGTCGCTCTCGATCGGAAACCATGCATCTGTTCTCTTCGCAAGGTTACTATAGTCATCGTATGTCAGCATTGTCCGATTTCTCGTGAACTTCAGTTGCTCGCATAGCGCCACAAACATCGCAAACGCACCCACCTGCGCTTTGTGGTAACCACCATACGCTTCTTGTGCCATCGCTTTGCGAACTATGTAGTCATGCTCGAATGGCGACTGGGGTTGGCCTTGGAACAGATAGTCCCACATCTTGTTTCTCTTCTTGCCCAGCTTGTGGTACATATCTCTGTCCGGACGATGCGCAGTCTTCTGCCTCTCAACCGTGCAATCGTTTCTCATGTCCTTCCCAAGAATGTCGATGGCCTTCGTCAAGTACGAGATGTCTTTGGACGACGCGTCGCATGCAAAAACATGATAGCCCGCGCGCAGAAGCTCCCACACAAGTCTATCATGCGGCTTTCCGATAAGTATCACCCCTTGATCCTCGTGCAGAAACGAACTACATAACTTTTGCAACTGTGTAAGATGTCGTTCCCACCGCCCATATTCCTCTCGTTCGTTTCCTTCATTGTCGTCGTGCTTTGCTGTGCACCTTTTGAACTTCTCTTCCTCAACGTTGAGTTCCACTAGCTCCGCCTCCAACTTAGGGACCCTCGTGACCTTCTTGAGGTCGTCGCCCTCGGCATGCAGAACGATCGACATGGTGTCCTTGTAATCGACTTGCCAGTTTCCGTACTTGCTGACAGCCGTCCCGACCCCGAGATAACGCTTCCAAGTCTCAGGTATCACCTCTACGTCGTCCCTGTTGTAAAGTTGTCGCATTACGATCTTTTGTTGTTTTTGCGGGGCAAAAACAATCAATATCCAATTATTGTCGCACAATTTCGACATCATTTTCTGCAGAGCATCGAAATCGGTCGGCGACCATGCAAGGCAGTCCTTCGGGTTTGTGAGATCGAGGATGGCGGCCTTGCAATTCAAGTTCGTGGCTGCAGTCACAATTTCGTCGATCGTGGACAGCAACTCCTTCGGGTGCATGTTGACCGGCAACAATGTCGACCGTCGCCCTTTCTTCTCCCAACACAGATGAAGCGCAGCGTTCTTCAACCGTCGCAACTCAGCTGTCAGCAAGTCCACTTTCCTTATGGCATGGTACACGAAGTACTTGAAGTGGAATGGCGCGTCCCTGTACAATCCCTCCGTGGCCTTTAGACCAGCTTCTTTCATGTCTTTTTCCTCTTGCTCTCCGCCGAGTCTTTTCGGAACCCTCCGGGCGTATTCCAAAGGGATCCTATCCCTCTCCTCATCCCATTCGCCTGCCTTCACGCCAAACCTTTGCTCCATTTTATCACAGTCGAAGAAGAACTCCTCCTTCCACTCATTCGCCTGTCTGTTCTCCAATTTGAAGACGATGTAGTTGAACAAACGCATCATGTATCTCTCGCGCATTATAATCTCGAGGAGGTTGGTCATGTTCATCTTCCCAGGAGGAACCAGTCTAGTTGTGGCGATGACTTTCTTATTGATCATCAAGCGCAAAGCGATTTCCTTCTCTCGTGCCGTCATATCCCCAAAACATTTGAAGTTTGATGGAACGAGATCTTTGAAGGACACCGTTGCATTTGGTCCCCCTTCCTTAGCCGCAATGCAATGGAACACCTCCTTCTTCCCCTGCACCTCTTAAACGAATTGGCCCGGCACCCGCCCCTCCTGCCTTCCCGGCAAGTCCTTTGGCCACTTGTTGTCGTGTAGCGGCAACTCCCCCACTTCGAACTTCTCAAAAAAATCCTTCACCAATGACCATATCTGGTTCTTACATGTGGCGACATTCATGTATCCCCTCATCCTGTTCGTGCAGTCTTGTTGCCACTTCGTAGCCAAAGCCTCAGTCCACAAGGATTTGTCACATAACCGGCTCATGCAAATTCTCATGAATTTCCTCCACTCTTCCTGGTGCGTCACACCGACGGGATCCGTTTTGGACACGTTCCCCACAGGTCCGATCCGTTTCTTCGAATCCCAATAATTTCTGATGTCTTCGCAGGCTTGGTCGAACGACGGCAACATAGCGCGGTCACCTCTCGAGTTGTCGTATGTCGAAACATACACATACCCGTTCCTATGGTCGTCGTCGAAATAAATGATCCGTACGCGATCATAATTTCGAAAGCCGAACACGTCCGCTGCTGCGGATCTCTTCGCCACTGCTCTTTTCATGGCTTCGGCAGTATGCTGGCCGACAACCGGGTAATAGAAGTACTCATCTACCCTATCGGGATCAAAGTCCTTTGGAAGGACTCGTGTCCCTTGCCTGTCCGGATAGTCCTTCGATGGCGTAATCGGAGCCAGCACCAACTCCGGTGGTTCCCAGGGAGCAGGATCATCCTCGCCCGTTGGCCCAGTTGACGACTTGATTGCCGCATCGAGGCCTGCAAGGATGGCCATGTTCAGCGATCGCTGATTGAAGGCGATATCTCCCTCCGGAATTCGAAAAATCTGCATGACGTCAATTACCACCCTCGGCGCGTCTCTTCTCTTTTTGCCCTCCTCATCGTACTCGAGGAAGTAGCACTGCATGATGTTGATCGCACTAGGTTTCTTCGTCTCGTGTTCGTCGTCGTCAAGGAGGGAGAGCAAGCGAGGGGCCACCCCTTCAGCGTCGTCGCTGGAGTCGTCCGATTTCTGGCGCCATGATGGCCGCACGGGTCTCTTGGGTTGCGACGTTTTGCGAATACGAGCACTTGATTTGCATTTTTTTTAGGCGTAGTTGGCGTCGTCGATGATTGCGCTGTGCATTTTCCCCTCCCCTTGTAAGTAAACCCCGCGGAAACACCAGCATCTTCTCCTTCGTCTTCCAATTCCTCGTCTTCCATTTTCGAACCACCCACACTGCCACCGCCCACCCCACCGCTCGGCGCAACCTTTTCCCACTCCATATCCTTCACCGCTCCTCCAACGTGTTCTCGCTGCTCGCCACTACACTTTTCCTATACCCGTTGGCCTTGCTGAGGAATTCAATGGGTAAGAGCATCCTAAACGCATTCCCATCTCTCTTGCCGCCGAAGGCTTTCATAGCGAATGCCTTCTGACCGTACCCCTTGAACACAGCAAGGTCGAGGCTGACCTTGTGGTCAGCCTTGACCCAGTCAGTACCCTGCTCATCGTACCCCTTGAACAGAGCAAGGTCGAGGCTGACCTTGAACAGAGGAAGAACTTCCTCAAATCTCGCTCGTCGACCTTGCCCTTCTCCGTCGTGGCCTTGTCAATTTCAGACCGAATGATGCCACCACAACAGTACCAGGTCGCCCCTTCGTCCTCCGTCAAAAACACAGCAGCACCGCACCCGGGCTCGCCGGTCATTCCGACCCAGTCGAGAGCCCACAGCTTGTCGCGATACAGTTTCGACCTGTTGTTGTACCTCTTATCCGCATCATTCGGACCCTTACGACCTCTCCCTGGAAGAAATATCCATAAGAAAAAGGACGAGGGATGCATTAACGTCACCTATCTCTATCTCACGCAGCACAAGATGGGACATAGCAAACAACAGAAGCAATCGCAGGGCACAAGCTGGTTTGCGGGGGTCCAGCGTTTGTGAAACCCTGGACCCCCGCCTACCGGCGTCGCAATTGGCGGGTGTTCGGCGTTTTACAACACTGAACGCCAGCCCTCGACACGGCCGGCAGGCAGGGGTCCAACGTTTGACAAACGCTGGACCCCCGCC